CCAGAAAAAGCATAAAGAGAGCATGCATATAAAATGGATCTGCCTTGTAACGAAATTTTCCGCAGCCACAAACTGGAAGCTTAGGACAGATCTTCCACTTTTATCCAGGCATACTATGCTCTAACAGAAACACTAAAAAGAACAATTGGAATCTATCAGGTGTGGTTGGCACACCTAGTGCTAATTGGTCCCGACAACAAAATCTCTCGGGCAGCGCGCTAACCTACCCACTTACCAGTTTTCTTGGTTAAGCTCGTCTTTTCAAGAGAATAAATATTGGAAGAAACCATCTTTAAGTAATGTAATGACTAGCTGATGTTTCACCTTTAGGTCAAAGTATTTTATAAGAGCAATTAAATTGGTATATAACCATCTTACTGTAGGCAATAGATGTCGGCTAAAAGCTCCATAACCATATGTGTTTTGTGAAATACAATAGATTGCTAATGCATGATAAAAGCTCTGCAAAGTTGTTAAGCTGGAAATTAACGGGAAAATTATAAAGGAATGCATCAAAAGCTGGGTAGAGGTAAAATTCCGATTCCTTCTAGTTTATGTCCTTGCAGCTGTAGCATCCTGTAACCATGAGTCCCCATAAAATGGTGTGTCGTTTTAATGCAGGTTTTTAAGCTAATGGAAGCCTGTTTACTGGGAATAAAGACATCGATCACTGGCCAGATTTGTGTGGTCACATTGCTTGTAGTTTCACTCTGCCATCTGTTGTTGGCCCTCTACCGATGAATGAAGTATGCCCACGTCATGTGCAAAGTTTTCCGACTGTTTCTTTCTAGTCAGGTCGCCGAACTCGCTGTTTCCTGGAATGTTCCTATAACCAAAGACCCAAACCAAATAGAAATATCTTATAGTGAGCCCCCTCTTTTGATTGTGAGTGCCTTACTCCATTAATCTTTACTGGCCTGGGGGCTTGTTGGGGCTGTTACTGAGACGCGAACCAAAAAGAAAACGAAATGGAAGAGGTCTTCGAATATGTGCATCGACTCTATGAATATAGTCACCAATGGAGGTCGTAATTAATTAGGTAAATATGCAAAAATGATTTATTCCTAGGCACAAAGGCAGACGGTTGTGTCTATTGTCTGCTTTGTCTATTATCTAAAATGGAGCAGCAAATTCGGGCTATGCTTTTCAATGTGCCAGCAAATCGGTTTAAGCTAGAAGCAGTGTTTTATTTTCCTCCTAGAGTTTACAGCTTGTTGTTGGTTGGTTTCTTTATTCTCTAGTTTAGTTCAGTGGACTGAGACTCGTATGGATCTTCTAGCTGATTCGCAACTGGATTATGTATAATTCATCTCAAGTATGGAACATCAGCTGTCAGTTGTTGTCCACAGTTACTTGGGGTTGTTCGGGCTGAAGGAAATTAAACGTCATTGAGACTCGATCCGGTGCTATTTTCATACAGCGGATTAAATTCAATACGGAACACAATTTATACCTTATACTTGACTGCAACTCTAATTGCGGTTGGAACCCTCATTTCAAAGGTTGAATCCCGAAGATCCGCCGACAATCTTTCAAGCAATACCAGCTTCACACAGTAAGAAAAAGGAAAAAACAACTTGTTTTGAGTTTTGGCCAGCTGTGCACGCCGGTTCCTTATTATTATGATCTTAATAACCGAACAAAAGGTTTGCGTTCCTCTTTAGGCCTTACTGCTAGCACTCCCTGAGCTACATTTTCCCAAGCCAGCCAAAATGGAATTATGTAGTATTGCTAGCCTTTAAAGTCTGCGGGAGATCGTAGAAGCTTGCCCAGAACGCAATAGCTGAAGACTGCTCCCGAACAAATGCAATCACCGGGTGCATCCACTTCCTCGTCCAACACTGTATTCTTTGTAATATTCAATAAAATGTATTTTCATTTAACTGCTGTGGGCAGCTAAAGCAGCAGAAGCACTTCAAATACTCATATGTTTATGTGCCTGCAACGAAAACGCCACGTAGACAGAGTAGCAGCAGTAGCCATAGTAGCAGCGCAACGACTTGATGGCAAAATTGCATTTCAACACCAAAAATAGCTCAAGGATTATGAGCAGATGCCTGGCTGCATATACGCTGAAAAGTTGGCATGTTTATGAGAAGCCAAGCAAATTGCTCGGCAAATCTATACCCCGGAGTGTGTGCGCCTGTGTATGGATGTATTTGTGTGGGCATTCAATGTAAGCGAGTGGGTGTATTGAGGCTACGCTGCCAAGCACATTGTAACGATTGATGGGTGATTGAAGATGGCGGGTTGGCTGGATGGCTGAATGGCTGGTGGGCTGGTGGGCTGCGGCCGACAACGTCTTGCGTGGCGTGAGTTCATTTGCTCGACTTGGCAGTGATTGTTTATCGGCTGAGCGGAGCGAAGTGCTCTCTGAATATTGTTTATGTTTATAAATATATGCATGTGTGCATGTAGTGTGTGAGTGTTGTTGTTGTATCGTGATTGCATGGCTTGACACAAATTCAACAAAGATTGATTGAATGCTGATGCTGATGAGCAAATTATGTGCGGTTGTGGCAATTCGGTTGGTGTGAGACGGTGAGCCAATAAAGTTGAGACGTGGCGGACGAGTTGCGGTGGGCCGACGTACGTTATGAAGCGGAAGGCCGGCAATTAACTTTGATAGACATGCAATAATATTTACGTTCACTTCTCTTACGTTATGAGCTAATGATGCGCGTGCGGATTGTGATTTTGAAAGTAGTTTGAGGGTAAACACAAACGCACATACACGTATGTACGTACATACGCACACATACCAAAATGCATATTTATAAATGAATGCGTGAATGAATGGATTCAACTGAAGTGATCATTTGTAATTAATTTTCGCTTTGATTTTCTTGAATTTCAAATTCAGTCATTTCCTCGTCCATTTCCGTGGAAATTTGTGGCGGCTCATACAAAAAAAAAACGTAATTAATTGTGACAGCGTGAGATAGTCTTTGCTTTATACAACTCTTGACTGGCTACTGGTGCGTCTTACTGACCTGGTCATTTCTTCGCATTCTGGGAGGCAGGCCTAATTAGAAGCTCAGGTCTCCTCTCTCTTAGCTCTCAAGAACTCCAATTATATTCTTCTTCTTATTGGTGTGGACACCGCTTCCTAATTGTAGCCGAGTATGCAACAACGTCTGTGTAAGCTGACCTAGACAACACCAGAAGCGCAGTCTGAATTGGGAAGGACCTCTCCGAGACGTTCGATACCAAACGAGGTTTCACACAATGTCCTCCTTTATCGTGGGATTTCTGCAATTTGATGCTGGAGCGAATAATAAGAGCTGCAGAGCTGAATAGATAAGCTACAATCTTCTATAAAAGTGTACAACTACTGGCGTACGCCGATGATATTGACATTATCTGCTTTCTCCAGGCTTGATAAAGAAGCGAGGCGAATGAGTCTGGTAGTGAACGAGGACAAGACGAAATATCTCCTCTCATCAAACACACAAATTGGCACCCACTTCACTGTTGACAGTCATTACTACGAGATCGTAGGGAATTTCGTCTATCTAGGAACCATCATTAACACTAACAACAATGTCAGCCTTGAAATCCAGCGCAGAATCACTCTTGCCAACAGGTCCTACTTGGGACTGAGTAGGCAATTGAAAAGAAAAAGACTCTCCCGACGAATGAAAACCAAACTCTACTAGTCGCTCTTCGTTCCGTCCTACTATCTGAAGCATAGACGATGACAACATCTGATGAGTCAGCATTGGGAGTTTTCGAGAGAAAGGTTTTGTATAAGATTTATGGTCCTTTGCGCGTTGGCAACGGCGAATATCGCAGAAGATGGAACGATGAGCTGTACGAGTTATACGGCGTCATTGACATAGTTCAGGGAATCAAGAAACAGCGGCTACGCTTCGACAGTTCTCGATGCAGTACCCTCTGCTGAAAGCAGAGGAAGAGGAAGATCACCACTCTGTTGGAAAGACCAGGTAGAGAAGGACCTGACTGTACTTGATATTTCCAATTGGCGTCAAACAGCCAAAAAAAGAAGAAACGAATGGCGCACAGGTGTAAATAGACTATAACCGCGTAAGCGGTGCCAACGCCAGTAAAGTAAGTAAGTAAGTGGAATAACGGCATATTCCTTCAATCCTTTTTGCTGATTCAGAATAACAAGTACAGACAGATCGTTTTACACTTGGTCTTTTCGACGGAGTGGCGATCTTCCTATTCTGTTTTTTCCACCGGCGGATACTGCAGCGAACACTTTCAAAGCTAGAGTTTCTCGCGTAGATCTAATTTAACAGACCTTCTCTGCACTCTGCGCGGTAACAGCGAAGGACACTACGGAGTAACTGAATTTTTCCACGGATTGCTACGCTTCCTCATAAAGTGGCTTGGATAGACTCATCGTTTGAGGTGAAGTATCTCTTAGGCTCTCTCTAAATCTCTCTCTATTCAATGAGAAGCTTAATCAAAGACTACTTTGCTGTAAATGCATATATTTAGGGAACTTTCCGCTATCTACCTCACCCTGCTCGCTCATTGCTTCTACACTTTATGGAAAATAAAAATGAAAATATTACAACACTCCTACTTCTACACCTAAAGGGTATAAAAATCAAAATAAAAAATATTCAAAATAACTTAAATTTCCCCCGAAACTTTTAGCAACGGATGAAGTCTCCTCGAACAAGCGCCATGGACGAGGCCGTGGCGGGCATTAACATTTTACGAGAATGCTTATGCAAATGCGGCATGAAAAGTGTTTCATTGGAAAATTATGCCAACGTGAAGAGCCCATACACATGCACACACACACACATGCACACATTTCTGTGTCTTATATTTATGAACGTGAAAATATGAAAATGTATATTTTATCACACACTCTAAAGCACGTGTGAGTGTGTGTGTGTGTGTGTGTATTTTTAGCGCGCTGTTTATGGCCAATGTTAAATTAAATTTGCACTTTAAAATGTTTTAAATTTTTTTATTTTTAATTTACGTTTTACTGATTTTCATTTTCTTCTTTTTTCCAGCAAATTTCACTGCCGTTAGCCACCGACCGACATACGACGACGACTGCGACGACGAGAACGACTGGTTGCTGTTGATCGCTCCCAAATGATGCGCAACAGTGTCATTGCCACTGCCATTACGCTCTACGCTGCCAACGACGGTGTTGCTGCCACTGCCTCGTCCTCTACAGCCGATACTCCTACAGCTACAGCTACAAGCACTGCCAACAACATCAACAAGAGGAAGAGAACGAGCGCCAACAGACAGAGCAACAGCTACAACAACCGTTAGTTTATGCCCTGAGTTAGCCTGCGGGACGCAATCGCGGTATACGCCGAGTCTGGCGGTTTTTCTACAACTCCCACGGCAACAATAAAAAGCGAAACGAGCGACAACGTCGAAGCGGCTCAGCGGCACAGTGGCTCATAGCGCAACAATTCCCGGCAGCATATAAAAAGTTATTATCATTTTAATTTCTTCCTTCGTATCTCGCGCAACGAGCTTGTGGGTTTATTTTATTTATTTTTTCGTTGTGCTTTGCTGCTGTGTGGCTTTGTGTGTCGTGTGCGTTGGTGTTGGACTCGTCGTGTCATACAGATACAATGAAATACAATTGTTCATGTGATTGCAATTGCAGCGACCGCGCTTCGTGCAGCACCAACATCACCGACCGCCGTCCGAGCGACAATATAATGGCCAATGGCGATTGTTATCGCCGATTGTCGAACTCATCGTCCGTATTGTACGGCAGTTGTCCACAACTAACACAGCATTGCGATTCACTGCAGCAGCAAACACATTGTCCACACATCAAATCAAACGCCGCCGAGCAAGACGCAGAATCAGAGTCAGAGCTAGAGCAACAAGCGAAAAACCAGCTAACACATCGTCAGTATTCGAGTTTAGTGCGCACCGGTCGCCGTCATCAAACACATAGTCCCGTCTTGTGTCAGCGTTGTGCCGTGTGACGAAGGAATAATCAAGTCTGTACACATCCCGAACGGTCTACAGTCACTTGTGCGCTAACATTTACAGCCGGGCGCACAGCGAAGAGCTGCAGTAAAGCCACAAAAGAAGTGACACAGGCAACAGCGAGTGCAGTGACGACAAATTGTGCGCCCGCCAACGCGCCGACAAAGTCGTCTTTAGCGTTTGTTTCCTTTAAGCCATCCGCTATTGCGGCTAGAGCGCGTCGGGCACAACAATTGCAACAGGAATTCGTATCGTCCGTTGCCACACCAGCTGTGACCGCATCACGCTACTTGTGTCAACATTGCAGATTCAACAATCAGCCGATTACGTGGTGGGTCTCTTGTCCGCGACTCTCCAATTTAGGTTCCACGCTAAGTTTGCAACAGAGCGCTGGTGAGCAACAACAGACAAATATACAAACTCAACAAACCCAAGCAGCGCAACTGATACGCGGCGTAGTCGCCAGCAACTACGATTATCGAGAGCAACAACAGAAACAACAACAACAGCAACAGCGTCCTCTACCCTTGCCACCAACGAGCGTTAGTGGTGGTGGTGGTGGTGTTGGTGTTGGTGTTGGTGCCGAGGACCAGCCAACGACGCCAAGTGACAGCAACAGTAGTAGCAACATCATGGCCACCACAGCCGCAGCAGCCACAAAGAAAACCGTCACGCGCCAGCAACTCTATGGTTCAAATCGTTGCCTGCGGCAATCAAGTGTTCATTATCCACTCGATCATAGTGCACTGCAGACCTCGCATATCGCTGGCGTTGGCGGTGTCAGTGGTGGCGGCGGGGGCGGCACATTAAAACGTCAGCCATGCACGCTCTCACATTCGCGTTCTATTACTGCGCTACAAAATATGGATCTCTATGGTAGTTATGCTACGCTACCCTCAACAGCGGCTGCCGCACCGTTGGACACACCGCAACGTGGATACTGTGCGCGTCATTTGGCAGCTGCTCCAGGCAGTGGCGGTGGTGCACCTGGTATGGGTGTGGGTGGTGGCCTCGGTGTGTCTGGCAGTCATACTTGGCATCCCAGTCAATATGCGGCCGCCGCCACGCCTTGCTGTCATCTCTACAATGCCAATCAGGCTGCGGCTGCAGCAGCGGCGACTTCTTGCATGTACGGTGGTATTGGACACACCTGCCAGCAGCAAGTCGCGGCACCACAACCGCATCCACAACAACAGCAAACGCAAACCCAACATCAGCACCAGCATTCGCAGCAACAATATCCACGCGCCGCTCTACTGCATGACAGTCATAAGCCTCTGGTACCTAATGGCTATTATTTTGGTGAGTTAGGCGCACAATGACGGATTATTGCGTTTGGAGCTAATAAATTTTGTATACTTTCTTGTCTTCTCGCCCTTACATTTGTGCTCTCTTGCAGGCTATGAGCATGCCACACATCTGACGGACGAGGAGGACTCGGCGTTTCCTGGCTTCCATGACCGTGAATTTCATATGCTGCATCGAAATATACCGGCATTGAGAAGGACGGGTGTGGATACGGCGGGTATTAGACAGGTAGGTCAATGGTTTTTCGGTTGAAAAAACACTATACCAATGTGAGTTTACCTTTAGAGTCTTCATCGTAGTGTTGGTTCGTTAGGGGGTTTCTTTGGTTACTCGAAACGATGAAAAATCTGTCTTTCGAATTCTAGATCCATATAATTTTTTATTTAGCAAACTCCTCAAACCTTTACAGATTGCTTTTGCTTCAGAACGATCTCGCAATCCCACAAGACGTTATACTCGTAATCGTAGAGACAATCTTTCCAAAAGTAGACCGCAGGTGCATGAGGAGACCTCACTCACACTAGTAGGGCTTCACAACCTCAATTGGGGATATACTCGCTGCAGTTTTAACTGTATTAAATTCCAATGAAAGGTGGCATTCGTCTAAGCCCTTTTCGAATAAAACATCTCTCAGATAATTGGCGTTCCAGAATGGTAGTACAGTAGAACCTCACTAGTAACCCTCATAGACACAGTACTATTTTTAATGGTTAACGTCCGGTCTCACCGGCACTGATCCTTATTCTGATTTTTCTTTTGGGCTTATTAACTTCCTTCTTGCCTTTGATGGATTCTATAAAGGCGTTGACATCTCTGTGAACTTTCTAACACAGACTTCTCTGCCTTATATGTGGCGTTAGGATTACAGTTCGATAGTATGGTGTGAATACCACCATCTCTCGTCCTTCTATTCCCGTTCACTAACCAAGTTTTAATATACCAAAATATTTCTTCTTACAGTACTTCTATCCGGACGGTGGCTGGGGTTGGATCATCTGTGGCATAGCCTTTTTAATCCACATACTCACCACAGGCTTGCAGCTGTCAAACGGTTTGCTACTCTTTTATGCCATAGACCATCTGAGAGATTCCAATGGCATTGGTGAGTACGAAAAATTAAAGTTATTTAATATTCCAGAATAAAAAATTGAAATTGAATTTATTTACAGAATGGGTTGGTGCTCTAAACTGGTCAATTTCTATGTTACTATCACCATTTGTGATCACATTTTGTCGAAAAAAATCGACACGACTGATGGCAGTAGTCGGTGGTTTGGTGCTTCCACTGGGCGTACTCTTCACCTCCTTCGCAACGGAGTTGGGACAAATAGTTTTTAGTTATGGTAAGTGAGTGTAATCTCCGAGAGAAGGCGAAAATAATGAGCGAAAGAGATTACAGTGAATGTAGTCTCCTCTGTTCTGGCTTGAAATACTTCCTTTACTTCAGTATTTGTGTTTTCTTTCTTCCAGGTATTGTTTTTGGTATTGCTGTGGCTATGGTTCGCGAATCGTCCACAATAATGTTAGGTAATTATTTTAAGCGTCGTCGGCAATTCGTCGAAATGATCGCCATGTCAGGCGAAGGTGTGGGCATATCGATTTTCTCTGTGATACTCCGGGAGGGTGTTGGGTAAGTGACTAAAGTTTGCGTATTGAAAGCTTTGAATTAATTATTTAAAATTTTAGTAACGCTGGCTGGCGTGTGGGCCTCCAAATTGTTGCTGGACTAGTAGCTGTTAGTTTCTTTATGGGTTTGTTGTATAGACCCGCATCACTATATCATCCACAACGGCGCGCCATACAACATTTGAAGAATCAGAGGAAAAAGGTTCGCAAAACTTAATATAAAATAAATTAAATTGCACTCAGTAAAAAATCATATACTAAAGTAAATATAAATTATAATAATATCTAACAAAAGAAAAATTTAATTAATTTATAAATATTAAGACTAAAAAAAAATTTATGTAAAATATTATCAAATAAAAAAGTAAAATAAAAGTAAGAAGTAAAAAGTAATATTAAATAAAATGAAATAAAGTAATATAAACTTAAATTAAATAGAATCAAATAAAATAAAATAAAAAAGTAAAATAAAATAAAACTTAATTATTTAATTAAATTTTATAAAAAAAAATATAAACTAACACCAAAGAAATAAATAATAGGAAAATAAATAAAATAGAGGAAACTCAAATAAAAAAATTAAATGAAAAAAATCAATTTAATTAAATAACTTCAATGAAAACAAATAAACAGAAACAAAATGAAACTAAAAAAAAATATGTAAAATGAAAAAAATATAACAAAATAAAACAAGATAAATTAAAATAAAATAAATGTAATGAAATCAAATCAAATGTAAAATAAAAGAAATTAAATTCAAATAAAAAGCTGTAATTAAAAATAAAAAAAAATTAATAAATAAAATATAATTAAATGAAATAAAACAACAAATAAAATGAATTAAACTAAAATATAATAATATAGAACAAAAAAATTTATTTTAATAAAAAAACTTGAGCCAAACTAAATTAAAATAAAACAAAATAAAATAATACAAACTAAAATAAATAAAATATAATACAAAAAAATATTCTAAAAAAGTGAAATCAATTAAATTAAATGAATTAAAATAAAATAAAATAAATTTAAATAAAAAAATAAATAAAATCATATAAAATAGAATGATATAAAACCAAATAATAAGTTTAAATAAATACAATGAAATTGAAATAAATTAAAAAAACAAATAAAATAAAATAAAATAAAATAAAATAAAATAAAATAAAATAAAATAAAATAAAATAAAATAAAATAAAATAAAATAAAATAAAATAAAATAAAATAAAATAAAATAAAATAAAATAAAATAAAATAAAATAAAATTAAATTAAAAAAATGACATAAAGTAAAATAAAATAAAAATAGATTAAATTTTAGTAAATTTAATGAAATTATATTAAATTAAAAAAATGAAATAAAATAAATTTAATATGGGAAAAATAAAAACTATACATGGTAATAAAATAAATTAACATAAAATCAAAGAAATATAAGAAATTATATCAAATATAATAAAAATAAAATAAAATAAAATAAAAAAAATGACATAAAGTAAAATAAAATAAAAATAAATTAAATTTTAGTAAATTTAATGAAATTATATTAAATTAAAGAAAATAAAATAAAATAAATTTAATATAAAAAGTAAAAACTAAATATGGTAATAAAATAAATTAAAATAAAATCAAACAAATATAAGAAATTATATAAAATATAATAAAAATAAAATAAAACTAAATAATTTCATTAAAAAAAAACTAAAACCAAATTAATTTTAGGTATGAGAAAGAAAAAAAAATAAGTTAAAATGAAATTAAATAAAATTATTTAAACTAAAATAAAGCAAAATAAATATAATGAAACAAAATAAAATTAAGTTAAGTTATTTAAATCAAAATAAACTAACTAATTGAAATAAATCTGGTATATTAAAATTATAATCTTTCAGCATATTTGTAAATTATATTACTTAAAAGAATTTTTCTTTCTTAAAAAAAAATTAGCTAAAATAGAACAACATAAAAATAGAAAATTGAATTAAATAGAAGTAGTTGAAAAATAATAATAAAAGTTTGATGAAGTGAAATGAAAAATTTTGAGCAAATACATTAAATTAGGTTATATAAAAATGAAGTAAAATTAATTGAAAAAAAAAAATAAATAAATTATTATGAGGTAGAAAATTATAAGTTGAAATGCTTTCCCATACTTTCAGATGCGTGAAAACAAATCGAAATCTGCGGTCACAACCGAACAGAAAGCGGTCCGTTATTTATTCATCGACATATCACCTTTTAAATCAACCAATGTGAAAATTTTGATGGTATCAGCTGCTGTGGCGGCGTTGGGGATTTACACGCCCATGATCTCAATGGTAACATAATTTTTAGTTGAAAAAATAGATTAATGAAAGAAACTAATAGAAAATATCTTGTGGACAGGAAATTTTAATGATATTTTCGGAGCCACAGTCAGCCTTCTAGAATTTTTTTTTTAAATTCTCAATGTAGAAGATAGCCAAAATATAAACTTAGTTTATTCGAAAAATAAGACTGCAGAAGATGTCGAAGAGTCTTGTAATCTTAGCTCGAGTTGACATGAACTGTGATCATTTTATTTATAATTGAACGCAAACTGAGTGAATGTATCGTAATCTTTAGCCACATTTTTTCTTGCAGACTTTGACTGTCGCCAAGGAGGGCCCCGATATTGAGGATTTAGTTTTACTACAAACTTTTTTAGGCGTCTCCAGTACAATAGGCGTATTCATAGCTGGCACAATATTACGTAACACTTTTAGTATAGGCAACTTCTTAATAACCTCACAAATCGTGTCTCAGGTAAGCTGAAAGAGGTTATTTAAAATTTAAAATAAAATTATTAACAAATCTGCCTATCTTAATCTCTTGCAGGTATTTATTGCGTTGATTGCAATTTCCATATTGAGCCTGTCCTTCGTCGTAAGTTTTCGTTGGTTTTGTATACTTGGCTGGATGTATGGCATAGGTTTTGGAGGATTTCGATATGCCTTCAAAATACTTGCGCTGGATCGCGTCAAGGTGAAGCAATTCTCAAAGGCATGGGGTGAGTGTAAAAGTGATATTTATTTAATGTTAGTTTCTTAAAGCAAACTATATTTCTAGGCTTGCTAAAGGGTGCTGAATCCATACCGGTGCTAATTAGTATACCGCTCACCAGCTTTCTCAATGACTACTCATTGAACTATGGACGAGCTGGCTATTTTATTTGTTCCGCCGCTGCTGCTATTGGCGGTATAATCATATTCTTCATGGCGTATTCCACGGTGGAACATGAGTCCGGCCCGGGTCATGGTAATAACAAGAAACATGGCAATGGCACTATACCTACACTGCGTCCCTTCCCGCAATATTGCAAGTTACATGGATTTCATGAACCAGTGGTAGACTTCAACGTTTACAATGGCTGTGATTATCCGGCGCCCGATTTGCTGATGAGCCGTAGTTGTGTTAGCCTCAATCAGGTGGACTTTGAGAATCTCTGTCGCAGCAATGCTTATTGTGATCGTTGGCGTGTGCCGAGCGTGCATAAGTTGCAACACTGTGCCGTGCATGGCGGTGGTGGAACTGCTGCATCGGCGGCACGTGGTCGAGGTCATATGAGTGAAATGAATCGACCGCATAGTCCTCATTATGATATCGAGCAAGGGTATGGCAGCATGCGGCGTGGCATGGGTAAGCGGCTGCAAAAGAGTTTGTCATTCATACAAAACCCATATTGTTGCAATGGACAGTGGTACTGTAATTGCCATGACAGTTATCAATGGGCGCAAACGTCTCCGAGGTGAGGACGATATTAAATGTAATTTAATCTAAGTTTTTTTTTTGATGTAACTTATTTTATTGCATTTAGTTAAATTGTACTATATTGTGCTTTCTTATATTTATTTAAATTAAATTTATTTGGATTTATTTTGCTTTTTTTTTAGGTTAAGTAATTTAATTTTATTTTCTTTTTTAGTAATAACTATTTTGTATGCTATTTCATTAATTTATTTTATATTTTTTGTTTTTTTTTTTAATATTTTTTTTTTAATTTGGCATAAATTATTTTGTTTTATTCAATTTAATTTAATTTTATTTTATTATACGTTATTTTATTTTGACGTTTCATAATTGGTTTTATTTCGTTGTTATTTTTATTTATTTTTTGTTTTATTTAATTTTGATTTCATTTTACATTTTTTTTTGTTTAATTTTTTTAATTTAATTTCAATTCGTTTTTAAATTCTTTTATTTAGTTTAATTTCATTTAATTTTACTGAGTTTTATTTTGCTATAGTTTATTTTAAATTATTTTATATGTTATATTATTTTTATGTTTTATTATCTTGTACTTTATTTTGTTTTAATTTATTTTTTTATTTATTTCATTTCATTTTATTTTGCTCTATTTTATTTTATTTACTTAATTTAATTTAGTTTTGAATAATTTAATATGATTTATTTTTACTTTATCTTATTTTTCTTTTATCTATTTTAATTTTTTATTTACCCCCAGTTTGCTTTATTTAATTTAATTATTTTTGTTTGATTCTATTTTATTTTCTTTTACCTAAATTAATTTTGTTTTTTAATTTAATTTTTTTTGCAATTATTTTATATTAATTTATTTGGTTTTTTAATTTTTTTTATATTTTTGCATTTTTTATTTTTTTATTTTATTACATATTGTTTAATTTCATTGTTTGTAATCTGTCTCAGTATATTTTTATTGATTTAAATTAATTTAATTAATCTTGATATTTTTCAAATATATTGTAATTGTGTTGGTATTTTTTATTTTATATTATTCTATTTCATTTTAGTATATATTATTTTAATTCATCTCATTTTATTTTCTTTTCTTTTATTTTAATTATCTTAACTTACGAACGGCTGATGGTTTTTTTTTTGTTAGAAATAATAATAATAAATAATAAAAATTTATTTAATTTAAATTATTTAATTTTATTTCAATTAAGTTTATTTTGTTTTTGCGTTTTATTTAATTTTGTTTTGTTTAATTTCCTTATTTTTTATTTATCAATCGCTAAATATTCCTTTTTAACCTTCTACAGATCACACATGCATCAACCGCTTCTCTGCACCTGCAATCAAGGTTCCACCAATTATTTGCAAAACTCACGCAGTCGTAGTGTTCCTGAAGGTCTCTCCACCATTGGCAATCATCTGTGCCGCTGTAAGAATCAAACAACAACCACAACAGCAGCACCGACAGCAGCGACATCACGTTTTGGCTCCTCCACGGCTTTATCACGTGAAGTTATCTATTTGCCGCGTCATGATCATGACTATAACTTCTCATGTCGGCATCATCAAAGAGGTGTTGGCGCAGCGGCAACAACAGCAACAGCGGCAGCAGTGGCTGCTATACAACATGGTGCCGCTACAACACCGCGCACACGTCACAGACGTACACAATCACTCTCCAAACCACTACAATATGTTGAACAGATAACGACTTCGGTGTAGATGAAAAAAAGAAAACAACAACAACAACAACAACAAAACCGTTAGATAGACAAAGAATAAAATTCAATAAATTGGCGATATAAGTTCAAGGAAAAGTAAATAGTAGTGAATTAATTAGTATGCAGCGGCTTGGATATGGTGAAAAAAATTGACCTGGAAATTCTTAAATTAAGACTTTTTTGCTTAGAAACATTTATTATATGTAAGCTGAGTGATATTTCTCGGTTCGAGGTTTATAACTGAGGAAAAAATGTATCTCTATTGGTTCTATGAATAACTGATAGTTCTCACTGGTATCAAGTCTTTGCCCTTAAAGTGCTTAAAATTGTAGTGCAAAAGACCGGCATACTTTCTCTACGAGGAAATTATTCACGGTTCTGTTTCCATTTCTAAGCTCGTCGAGATATTGGCGACAAAGATAGAAATGAGATTTTCTTCGGCTCACTGAGCAGAAGACTTCTAAATAAATTTTTCCGGCTTGCTAGCTTACATAAGCTCAATTATTGCATTAACTTCTGTTCAAAACATATACATATGTATACACATAATTGGTTCTTCTCCCCCACTTTGTGATGCGCTTCTTAGTGTTTTTCCAACAAATGGCGCGGTTTACGAACGGCCGATGAACTTTTATAAAGAACTTTAATTTCAATATTAGAAATACACTCGAAGCACTTGACAGTCCGTGCCGGGGAGTAATCGCAATTATTCTATTATTTTAGATGTTGGTCGAGCCAGGACTCAAACCTTAGCCTTCCGAATGTCAGTGCGCAATACCAACCACTCGGCTAGTGCGGCCGCCAAAAATTTATTATTTTTTCCCCACTATTTTCTGAAGCCACTAGAATTGTCGACAAATAAAAAATTCTATAATAAAAATTAAAAAAAAAAAAATTATTACGGTATGTGCGATTAATCAATTAAACAAATAAATTGCTTAATTCAAATCGAATTTTTTAGTTAGGTAATAACTAATCATATTTCGTTAAGAGAAATGTAATTATTCAAAAAACCTATTCAGAAATTAATCAATTTAAATCAACCGATTTTAACTAATTTTAAAAGTCATGAATTTCTGTATTACCTTAAATGTGATTAATCGTAAAATAAAAAAATTTGATAAAAATCTAATTTTTTTTTGGGATTTTTCGTTTTTAATTTTCGCAATATTATTTAATCTCAAAGGAAAAAAATAAAAATATTTTTTTTTTAATTTAAATTTTTTTTAAATCCAGTTCCGTTGTTGAATGATCACTAAATAAATTATCTAATTAACTAATTTCACCAGCAAAATTATGGCACTACATAAGAAACTGCTGTTGATTAATCACACATGCGTAATGAAATTACATTGAAATATTAAATGAAAATAAAAAATAACAAAAAAATAAACGCTGAGAGTTAGCGTTGAAAATAAAAAAAATAATTAATTAATAATTAATTAAGATTTACAAATGTATTTACACTTCTAGTCTCTGATAAACTATAATTTTCCTTTTTTCTTAATAAAAAAATAAAACCAAAATAACAGAAGGAAAAAATGTTACAATTTTATATATAAAAAAAAGTATTAATATAAGAAAGCAGAAGAAGATCATAAAAATTTAAAAATAAATTCACTCTTAATATTAAACCGAAACAACAGTATAAAATAGATACTTTCATACATTTATATGCATACAATCACATGTATATACTTGCATATATGGGAACATTGTAATAATTGAAGTATTATTAACAAGAAAAAATTGGCAATTTGTTACTCAAATAACTAAGAAAAAATTTAAATCAGAATCTTACATAAGAAACATAACTACATTTTTTAACAACTTCACCAAACAAGCAACCAATCAACCAACTAACCAAAACCACCACCACCACCACCACCATCACAGCCACCATTTACTCACATCAATTTTTACCCTTATTAGAGCCTACCCTAATGCCCCTAAGGAGTTTGAAAGCTTTATCTAAATAGTTTGTATGTAGCAATGTAATTAAATAAATAAAAAAAAAAATTAAATACATACATATATATTATAGCAAATGAAAAGTTAGCTACTACAATTTAGTAATATTTTAATAAATTTCATATATTAGTATTAATTAATGTAGCAAATAATTCATTAAATTACTATGTGTATTGGTAGTGTATATATATATAAATATATATATATATATATATTTAGTAATTATTTAAATGTTTAGATTTAGTCAATTTCATAGTAAATAATTAAATATTATAGTAAAATGTTTGTGCGTTTGTATGAAAAAAAGTGTTTGTGTGTGTGTGTGTGTGTGTGTGTGTATGCATATCAACAACATATTTAGTTGTGTGCTTGCTAATGACGTATGCATGTATGTATGTACATAGTCATACAATATTTATAAAAGCTGAATGCGTCCAATTTTACAAGCAAACAAAATGAGCAAAGCGAAAATAAAAATGAATTTTGTATAAAATCCACCGATATTAAGGTAAGCCAACCGCAATAACCACAACCTAACTTTTGTATAGAGAAATAAACAAACAGACGTTTACAGTTAGAAATATGTAGTTAAGGTGTGTGCATGTGAAAGTGTTTACAGTGGCTGGTGACGTTAGTGGTAACAAGAAACTAATAAAAAAATTTTAAACTCAAAAATATTTCAAGTATTAAAATAGAAAATAAAATAGATTACCATTTTTAATTTGTTATTATTTTAAAATCACTTCATCCTTAATTACACATTAAAAAAAAAAAAAAATGCTGCTAATTATTAGGTGTACAACTTTGCTTCCGCCGTTTTTTCCAAACAAGTGAAAGCTTTATTGCGAAAAAGTGCTTACCGATATATTATACAAAGTATTGACCTTCGCTAGCGACAACTTTCTTCCATCTTTCCGGCAATTTTCGGATCCCGGCTCGAAAAAAGGAGTCCTCTTTTGACGCGATCCATGAAGCAATCCATTTTTCCAATTCTTCGAAAGATTGAAAATGTTGATCTGCCAGGCCGTCTGCCATCGAACGGAATAGGTGGAAGTCAGAAGGGGCGTCATCTGGGGAATACGGTGACATCTGGGGAATACGGCGGGTGGGGCAAGACTTCCCATTTCAGCGTTTCCAGGTACTTTTTGACCATTTTTGTGACGTGAGGCCGAGAATTGTCGTTTTGGAGGATGACTTTGTCATGTCGCTCTGTCGAAATTGTGGTCGCTTTTCTTTTAGCGCGCGACTAAGGCGCATCAGTTGCGTTCGGTAGCGATCTCCTGTGATGGTTTCACCCTTTTTTAAGAGCTCGTAGTAAATCTTTGAAGGTTTTTTCTTTTCCACCACCATGTTTGTCTTCGACATCGAAATCACCATTTTTAATACGCTGAAATCACACCCGACACGTTCTTTCACTCAGAGCAGCATCACCGTAAGTTTCTGAGAGCATTCGATGCGCTTCAACTGCATTCACACTCACTATAAAGGCATTATCACCTATGTATTTCAACCAGCCTCAGCCGGTACAGCCACCTATCGGATAACGGCGGAAGCGAAGTTGTAGAACTGATATACGTGTAATTTAGAGAACAACTCTAAGCAACGTTATTTTTTACTTGAAACATTGGAGTGTGGTCGAAAAATTCGTGAAAATAAATTCCTTTAATCGAAATAAGTTTATATATATATATAATTAGCGCTTTGTAACCGCTTAGGCGATTTTCGGCCGAGCTCTTTCTCCAAATTGTGATTTTACATTTTGATACTTTTCCAATAAATGGAGGGACCTACAGATTATACTACGCCGCCTCCGAACAGCTGATGGTTTTTTAAAAGGAGCCTTTTTTTATATCAGAAATACACTCAGAGGCGTTGCCAATCTCTACCGAGGGGCGACCGCAATTAGAAAATTTAACACAACTTTTTATTTATAAATTTATATACTTAAATAAAAAATACAAAAATTATAAAGACATTTTCGTTGACCCATTAATCCTAGGAACAATATACTATTTATTAAGTCAACCAGTTTTATTCATGACAGAGGTAAATGTCGTTGTTTGAAAGGGCTTAAAGTGTAGTAAAAAAGAGGCCATGCTGAGGCTTCATTATACCTTTCATGACTATATGAAATTTTTCGTATTTTATTTTATTACTAAACTAGAGTTTGTCCGCGACTTCGTCCGCATATAACTTAATAAGATTTTTAGTAGTTTATATGTATGTTATTGTTGTTATTTTTTTATTATTTCAAAACGTATAACAAAGAAAGAAACGTTTCCTACATATCAGCCCAGGCAAGCACAATTCTTTGTTCCTATTTTCAAGCAAATTAAATAATGAATATGATTTTACGACTAGATCGATTCCAGGTACACTTCTCGAAAAAAAAAGAATGCCAATGTTGTTCCCTTTAGAACCCGAAAAAGAGTCTTCTTTCCGGAATTATTTTTTAAAGAGAAGGAAATTATTGTGGTAAAAAAAATTTCAGACAATAATTTACAATATTTAATTTTCAAAAAACAATTTTTAGTCTCAAAAAATATTGGAATTTTTCAATGTTGTTATGAGTTTTCTGAATCGCAACTGCAGTCTGCAGTTGTAAAACGGTGCCCGTGGTGAGCGTGCGATGCATTTGAAATAGTCGGATCAATTTTTCCTTTTCAATTTTTATGCGCGCCTCTGCAAATGAACTTGAAAAATAGCGAAGGGGTTGGAAAATTCAAAATTTTCTGGAATTTGTACAAAAAGTTCACTTATAAACAAACAAACAAAAAACTTATTTCAAGTTGCAAAAACAAAGCTTTTAATTTAACTTTTGTCCAAATGTTTTTAAAGTGACTAGAAGATAATTTAATACTGAAATTAAATCTTTTTGATTTCATTCGATCGGACATATATATGTATATTCTTTTTGCTATAACTGACACCCTTTTCTAAGCTTTGTAAACATGAAAACTCGAAAAAACGCGCTTCGGAGTTCTGCCCGCGCATTCGAACCTGCTCGACCCTCGGCCAGTAAAACTGCTTTAGCTTCTAACACTTCTTGGTTAGTTCTAGATTAGATTTAAAAAGAGGAATTTTTGAAGCCGCTTAAGCATGCGCTATGCATCAAATATTAAGCAGATGTAATTAAAATTAAGACTACCAAGGTAAACAGAGATATCAAACAAAAAAAACCATAAATGAAATCTTTTCTTCAGCATTCATATTACCCTTGACAGAGAGCGACCTGCAAATGTTCCAGGTATGAAGTAAAATCAGACCATCGAATCGTCTCGGGCGAATCAATCCCAGACACTTACCGGAACAAAAAGTGTTTTCGTTGTTATCTAGGCAAAAAGCTATCTCAATACCAAATTTAACTCAAATAAAAATGTTTCGAAAAGAAGTTATTCTCATTCCAATATAACCAAATTCATGTCATCTAAACTATTTGAAAATAAATTCGATTTTTTTTTTCGATCGGTCCTAGAAAATACTTTTTTATCGGATGCCTACGTCATACACAGAAGACACAAGTTCCAGGTCTCTGTTATCCATGGTTTAGGCTGTCGCTTGATCCGTGAGTAATTCAGGACAAAGTCTTTTATATACATATTGAGCTATAATATTATTTTTTATACCTTGAAAATTAGCAGGAGTATAATCTCTTCTGATAAAGTTTCTCGATTTCAACGTTTTTCGATGTTAACGTTGTGTGTATGCATTCTGCCCATCGGAAGCTACGATGATTACTTATAATTCTGGCAGCTTGTGGATCCCACCCCAAAAGAACTTCTCCAGCTTGGAGGTCAGGAAAGAATCAGCCAATTTTTGATACCCTGTTCTGAAGTGAAGCGTACTCCGGTGAGGGCATTCTGCATTGATCTGAACAAGTGGTAATCGGAAGGTGCTATGTCTGGGCTATAAGGCGGGTGAGGTAGAACTTCCCACCCACAATTTTCCAAATAGTTTTAAACTGTGCTTGCAACATGTGGCCGAGCGTTGTCATATTGAAAAATTATTGAATCGCGTCTGGTCGCATATTCTGGTCGTTTTTCCGCGATGGCCTTTTTCAAACGAATCAATTGTTTTCGGTGGAAGTCCCCATTGATCGTCTGAGCCGATTTCAATGGCTCATAAT